AACACTCTGATATAGTACTTGTAGAATAACTGAGTTAAGCACTGAAGATGCCGTCAACCATAATAATGAAAACTCCACCATTAAATCATGTATATCAGGGACACACAACACTATTGAAGTCAAGTTGTACATAATATTGTGATCGAATGGTGAATTATTCTTATTTTGATAATCACTTATTAAAATGACAATATGATCCGAAGAATGGATACTGTGATTATTGGATAAAATTATAATATGCAATTTATATGGTGGTTGGAGGTAGTCAACAGAAAACCCTGGACTCGAATTCTGTGCTACTTGGCACTCGTCAGCAAGGTGTACCTGTAATTTTAATGGAACTGATGCTCCCTGACGGATTCGATCACGTGTCACGCAGCTTCACAGTTAGAGACGTTACCATTTAGCTATCCGAGCTGCGACCGACCTCCTGTAGGACTGAGATGTAATCACAATTGATTGATCACTGGGTGGTGATTAATGTCAGCGATCAATCAAATGTGATTATATTATGCAATCGATAACATTTAAAAGAGCTTCAAGCCTTGATCGTTAAGTAACCTAAATTTATACAAAGTATAAAGTCAACATCTTTACTGAGAACAGTTTCACTGTCAATAATCGTTATACATTAAAACTAAAACAGATGATCATTTAATTTTAAGGTAGTATATGTAATGAGTGTAGTACATCTGAAGTAGTAGTGATCAAAGGTTATAATTGTTTGAACTTTAAAAAGAAGTTATGTTAACGATTAGACTAGATGACTACTTCAAAATGGATCAAAAAAGATCACACTGTAATCTTTCTGCATGACATCAAACTGAGTCAAATATTATATATAGTATCTAGATCTTATAAACAAATCACCATTCATGTTGCTTATGTCTTACTCCGTTAGAGTTGCATTTCGAAAATGTGTGTTACACTACTCATTTACTTTATGAGTAGCTAAACTCTTTAGTATAATATTCGATGGTAGAAACTATCAACCATCAAATGTGATAGAATTTTGTATACACTTTTTTGATTAAGGATACTGTATACACAAAGGATAAACCATTCAAGTGTTTTCTTTGATCTACGAGAAGAAACACTACTGATGCATTTCAAAAGTGACTTAATACAAAACAGATCATGATCAATGAAATGGTTCTAATCTATATAAGTAATAAAAAACTATCACATAGGTTAGATCGTTTGAAACTATCCAAGTTAATTGTCAATGCGTATGTTATATCCTATGAAAAATGTAAAAAAAACTAAACCTGTAAGCACGACATTAAAAGGCCTGAAAAATATTTCATAGTTTAACCTTAAAAGTTCTAGGGCGATGATCAGTTTGCAATTTAGCCAAAATAAATGTGTATCATTCATGATCTCAATTATTATCAAGATGGGTTTTGTGAAGATTGTAGTAATTTCAATGGTTAAAATCATAAATCAGTTGAAGCTATACCATCATGGAAAACCTGGAAGCACTGGACGGCCGTTTCGTTCTATTGTGGGACTCCTCAGCAGTACGCATCCACGACCTCACCCTCTGTGAGATTCGGACCCAGGACCTACTGGTTTCGCGCGCGAGCACTTAACCACTAGACCACTGAGCCGGAATCCAACGGTGTTAATGTCTTACTTCAACTAATCCATGAAATTGAGCGACACCTTCACCATTGTCTTCAGTGAGTTACTATCTCACAACGGCCGTCCAATGCTTCCAGGTTTTCCATAGTGGTCTAGCTTCAACTGACTCATGATTTTAACCATTGAAATAATATTATTACATGTTATAGACGAATAGTCTCATACGTTGTAGAATTATACAGTGGAGATTTACTACAGAGACGAGTTTAAACTATTCTTAAAATGACTACATGATCATGGAATCATTTTCAGGCAATAAGCAGAATGTCGGAAGTATTTTGAGTTAGAACTAATACAAGTTGTTAGAGTTAAGTGGTTTGAAAAAGTTTGTCAATTTTCCAACCCTATTATTGTAAACATTTTACTATATAGAGTCTTTAACCTGAGTGCATGTTTATTCATTTATTGGCTTCTTTTTGCATGTTCCTCGTAGCCATAAAATGTTCCATGAAAAATTTATTACAGCCGATAAAATCATTTTTCAGTAAAATCACTAGAGTTACACAGATGAAACTGTAAAGGAAGTATTATTGTCGTTATACTGATGTGAGGAATTCATAAGAGAAAGTCGTTATCTATTTCAGAATCTTTACTTCAGCAACAGATCAATCGATCCGTCAACTATCAATAAAACAATTTCTCACTATAGGGTTGTGGAGATCATTAAGTATTTAATCCAGATCATGAATCGATTGATCTTAGACAACCATTGAAAAACCGGAAGCATTGAACGGCTGTTTCGTCCTATTGTGGGAATCCTCAGCAGTGCGCATCCACGACCCCATGAGCGAGATCCTCACTAAGATTCATGAGGAAATTCCCAGAGTTCTGGTGAGAAGCCCTAATCACTGGGGCTATTCCGAGTGATGATGGTGATGATAGGCCCTGAAACATACTGAATTCATGTTTTTTTTCTCGTTGTATTTAAATTTATCAAATGATCAAGTTGTATAAAACTAAGAATATGATTTGAATAGAAGATATGATGAGACTCGTGACGACGGACCACGGGTGAACTCGAGGAAGCTATGGGAGGCTCAGAAGGAGCCGAAGATATTCCATCCAATCACCTTTTGGAAGAATACTCTAGAATTCCTACATGTAGCTTCCTGATTGGACGATGATAATAACCCCCTGTATGCGGAATGTAAGATTGTAATGATGATTTCTTTCTTACTAAAATACAAAATTGTACTATAATTTGACAGTGTCTGAAAATAATAATTCTTTCATTAGTCTTCTATCTTCTCATTGCGATCTGGAAGGGTTCTGGCGTTCTAGTGCTCACGTTATAAGAAGTATATCAAGAACAACCTTCTAGATATAACAGGACTCAAACTGTATGACGTAACACATACATACAAACATATATGTATATATATGTACACACATAACAATACAGTCGTTAATTAACTATGGAAAGAATTCTATACATTATTACTTTTTATAATGAACCAAGTTTACACATAGTAATCAAATATTTTTATAATAATTATGCGGTTACCAAAATAAAAGGAATTTAAAGGGTGTCCATGTTTATAAAAACAAAAAACAACTAAAGTTTTCAGTTTATTCCAACAACAACAAAAAGGACTGTACTGGGTTATTTAAAGAAAGTGTATGAACTCATTATGAATTATTTAACTTTAAGAAGGATCAATAAAATATTATTAATATTAGTATTATAACTTCAATAATCCATTTTTGTATTCTACAATAGAGAGCGTTTAAAACGAAGCCAGAAGTCGAATAGATGATTGTTAATCTTATTTGGAATCTGATAATCCACAGTTCTAACACTGATAAGTAGTTCCTTAAAACAGAAATATGTAATACAAGATAACATCCATACATATATCTGTATATAAAAACCAATAGTCATATTGGGTGAGACTATGGACAACCTTTGAGCGACGCTAAACTGACCTTGAAACTGTCCACGTACATACTACGGTCAAATTAGGGTTATAAACCAATGTGAGAAATTAGAATTATGATTTACAGTTAATAGTTAGGATTAAGAATTAGATTTAGGGTTTTCATCTCGAACTGACATCAGTTCTAATGCCAAAAACTCTATTTAGCTAAATGAATGAATTTTGCACCAAAATTCAAGATCTATTATCGTAAATCTCATTGATTCGTCTATAAATTCTAGTCTCACCGTCATATTGATCAAATGAAGTTTGCCTAAACTTGTAAATCAATTGACGAAATGTGAATTCTTAAATTAGAACAGAGTTCCTTTAAATCTCAGTGCGCTTTGTTTAAAAAAAATAGATAGCCTACTTCTGTAATAGATATACGATAAGTTTATATCACTAATGACGAGCTACAAATGTTAAGGATAATTATGAATAGTTTGTACGTTTATTTTGTGATAAATATTTCCAATGCTCTGTCTGATTCAACTAGATACTATTATCGTATCCCTACAGCTATATATTCACGGTCTTTTAGAAACAAAACTAAGACTGTCCCAAATTCTGTATAATTTTTATACTAACTGATATTAGCAAGGAAATTCGGGATGGAAAAACCTTCTTACTTATTAATTTAGCACTACTTTTGGTTATGATACCTAACATAGTTCTAAATAAATTGCTTAACTTTCTAGAAATGTAGAAAATCATCTAGAGAAATATTGGTACACTACCAACGGTGGTTGACATTTTTCATGTGTGGAGCTGAAATGTAATTAAAGTACTTCAAAATTAGGTTTATTTCCTGATATCACTTGTATCTTGGGTTTTCATAACGATCAACATAAACAACATCGTTTTTATAAATGTAATGTGATAAAACATCACGATGTAGAAAACCCCTGTGATTGAGTTAGTTCTCTTTTCAGAGTTATGGTAGTAATACATTGATGTGTCGACAAATAAGCTGACTATCTTGAGGGTTGAGGATAGTCAACTCTCCCGCTCGAAATGCTCTCACATTGCCACACGTATTCAACCACTGAGGGAAGTTCAACTCATTTCCCTCTCGCGGTGGAAGCGTTGTTTAGGAAAATAAGAGGACAAAAATCAAATGTCTGACGCTTTACGCGAGTTGGTGGAACCTCCGTGTCCATCTAGGGGAGTAGGAAAATCCTAACTCAAAACCAATGATGAATACGGACTCCAGGATCTTGATGGAAAAGATGGAGCATGAAACTATTATTAGTCACCGGCTACCATTGAATTATATTTTCCACCGTTGTTCCTCTGCCTTATGGATTAGACTCATAGGTCAGAGGTCCAGGAGTGCCCTCCCCCTACGAAAATCACCTACTTCGGTTTGTACACCCGATTGGTAAATCAGCCCACACATAAATCAATTGACGAAGTGTGATGTACATACATGTGGTTCCTTGTACTAATATTTCATGTGTTTAAACAAATATGACTATCTTGGATACTGAATCATTTAATAAACTTTATGAATGTCAAAGCAACACTGAAACGTTCGTATTCACAATTAATAAGAAACATATGAGTCTGAAAATCTTCACCTTTCATTACATGTATGTATGTATGTATATTACTAAAACATATTTTCCAAAAATCAAAAACTTATATTTTAAGTATATCATTAACAAATGGAAGAAAACATTATCGTCACTATCCATTTTCATAGATGGTAGAAATTGTTCACTTGAAAAAAATACAATAACATGTAAATAATATCATACTTTAAAGTAAGAAAAACACAATTGTAAAACATACAGAGAAATAGTGTTATAATACTGATGATTGGGTAATGTATGCGCTTTTCCCTTGGAGAGAATTTACAAAGCAATAGATACTAATACAAAATATTCTATAAAAATGCATACAAAACACTTATCTCTTTCGTATTATCTAACTAAGAAATTATGGGGTATTCATAAATACAGAGGCACATTATAACAACACAAAGAGAAATCATGTTATCATGTGCATTATAGAAAGTTGAAAGACACATGTGAACAATTAGTTGTGTTAATATTCATTTAAATAACTATAATACATGAAAAATATCTTTCAATGGAAAAAAAGCAAACAATTATTGAGAATGTAAGTAGCAAAATAACAGTATCAATAATAGATAGATAGATATATAGTATTGTTGGGAGATAAATTGTATCTTTGCCGTGTTGAAACTGAAGATTACGAAGGAATAATCAAACTATCCATCCATCCATATATATATATATATATATATATATATATATATATATATATATATATATATATATATATAAAACACTGGATACAAGTTGAAATCAAAGAGAAAATAATGCCATTGTCAATAAATAGAGTTGAGCAGTAACTAACACAAGAGATTCAGTTATCATTTTAAGAGAAAATAAGGTGGGGGGAATACTTTACTACATACAAAAATCAAACCAAATTAATCAATAAGCAAAGAGATAACTGATGTGCAGTAAAAGTAAATGGAAGAAGTTTATTTGGATATAACTATCATTATAATGACTACTACTACTACTACTACTAATACACAGAAAGAGTAGTTGATGGGACATAAAATGTAACAGCAGTAGTCGTTAAACGGTTACAAAAGGGAGGAAGTAAGAAAGACTTTTCTTATCTCTATTTTACATACACACACATGTACTTGTGTATTTGTCTTCAATCAATTGATACACAACCACACACAACACACACACACAGAGGGAGAAGATACGATAACATACAACAACAGAAGTATTGATTGATTTTAATCTAAATCCGAATGACGTTGAAAATCTAAATGATGCATAGCTGAATTGAATAATGAATGAAGACGAAACGCTTCAGCTAGTACCAATTTAATATTTTCATCAGTCCAATGAAATGTTGGTAAATGTTGTAATAATAACATAATACCTTGAAAATCTTGTTCACGGCAGAGATCATTAGAAAATTGTAATAGAAAAGCTGCACAAACATAAACGTGAAAATTTGAAAATCCACTATTTTCTGACTGTATATAAAATAGAATTGAATTATAAAAAGGAAATGATCAATTAAATTATATACGAGTAAATCATTCAATCAAATATGAAAGTATTATATAGTAGTAGTAGTCGAACGCGTTTACAACTTCACTTGGAAGTCTGATCAGCCATAATGGGTTGGTGTCTGACGACATCTCATCACGGATTCGAAAATCTCGTTTGGCGTTTGCCAACTTACGTCACCTATGGAGAAGGTGAGATATATGTCTATCAATAAAAGGACGGGTATACTGCGCGGCAGATCGTTCTGTTTTAATTTACGGCAGCGAAACATGGCCTGTAAGAGTAGAAGACACTCGTAAGCTACTAGCATTTGAACACAGATGCCTTAGAAATATTGCTGGTGTCTGCTAGGATCACCGGGTAAGTAATAGTGAGGTTAAACGCAGGGTATTAGGGAATGATGGTAAATCAGTTGATGAGGTTGTGAATCTTTATCGACTGAGATGGTTGGGCCACGTGTTACGTATTCCTGAACACCGATTACCACGACGTGCAATGGTAAGGATGGTTGGAAGAAAGTTAGGGACGGCCAGACCAAAACGTGGCATCAGCGCTTGAAGTCGCTAACTTCTAGTCTGAGCCATGTTGGTAGATGCAGACTACTTGGTTGGAATCCGCGTGACTATCGTAACCAACAGTTGGAGACTCTTGGTGACATGGCTCAGAATCGATCACAATGGCGTCGGTGTATACACTCTCTGTCTTCCCTTAAACTAAGAGATTAAAATCGCTTCATATCTTTCTTTCTACGAACTAATTCTTCCTTCCTGTACAATATCCTTATTGCAATCTTTCTTTTCTATATTACCGCCTCTGAATTAACTACTTTTATGAATCCGGTGTCCATCTTGTTGTGTTAATGAGGTATGGCAACTTGGACTGATGCATATATGTGTCTGGTCCTACGTTGCAGCTGACTGACTGATTGTATATAACAGAGTATACAACAAACTAAATTAATAAGATATTTTATACTGTGAAATAATCTCACAATCTATTCACATCTAAATAATAATTATACACTCATTAGTAGCTACAACTGATGTAGCTTAATGTAGTTTTAGTGCAGACTTATATGCCTGAAGAAGTAAGATAGCCATCATGGATGATATTCGAACCAGTGATCAAATGTGATAAATAGTCAATGAAATTTCTTCTCATACCTCAGATTCATCCTTACGAATACACGTACAATCTGCTATCTTAACACATTTTTTTCATATCATACACACTATAAAAAATACATTAGAAATTATTCACATGATGGAATGACCTATTTACTATACAGTTAAATGAAGAACCATGTACCCCTTTTTTATATTCGATAATTTTGATGTTTGATTATATTTGCTTGAAAGTGTTTGAACCAGATTGTCGAACAAAAAGTAAGATTTATTAAAATTGAATCATTGAGATTTTACAAATATATTTTTCCTATTTAACGTCTTATATAACTGAGAACACAAATACTATGACGGTTCTTAGAAAAAAAACTAGAAGCAGTTCAGTTAAGAAAAACACAATCAGAAAGTATTCATACATTTAAAAAAGTTCCTCTCACTTATATGAGCAAAGTAAAATAAATTTACAACAGGATCGCCACTCGCTTCTATTCTGAGCCACGTCTGATAACGTCTCAAGCCATTGTGTTGCACTATCTCTCGGACCCCAACCACGGAGTTGAGAAGGACCAACAGAAGCTAATCCTGCACAGCTTTCTTTCGTATTACGACACTACGTCATATACTGACCACCTCTCTATTTTTAACAACCGGTCCCAACGTCGGCATATAATGCCCCATGTGGAATTCTCTGGGACGACATTAGTAGGACATGTCCAAGCCATTGAAGTCGATGTTTCAAGATAGTGACACTAATTGGATTATCGTCACTGTGCCCAAACAAACGATGCTAAACCTCAGAATTACTAACATGGTGTTACCACTGGATTTCAGCAATCCTTCCTTCTTAATGCTTTTAAGATTTATTATTATCATTACTTTCGTAGACTAATGTTCTATTCATTTTTGTTCTATTTTCTATTATACTCATCTTCCTTTCTCTATCTCTACACAATCTCGTTTTTACTTGTATGGAGTATATGTATTTTGGTATCCCCTGTGTACCGGTATTTAAGGCGTTTAAATAAGTAAATATTTTCACACCATTTTAATATTGATCTAGACAATCAATGAAATACTCCTTTCCGAGAACGGCAGTGTCGGTTGCTATGTCAAGCCCACGTAGTTTATTGCAGCTTCCGTACAGGTCAGTTCATTCATTCTTCTTGAGTTACATTTCGACCTTGTTAATTACTCGCTTATCAACCTTGAATGTTTTTATATGAGCGTATATGTGTGCCTCTCTTATCTTACTCATCATACGTATGTAACTTATTTTTGTCTGACTATAAATATTGATTCACGCTTAGTTAAATCAAGTTGGTCCACATGCTTTCTCCACTGCGTGTTATTTCGCTTCGCTCCCTTCTCTTAGTTTCGTTTCCTTATTCGTTTGTCTGGATCAACGATTGTGTGAAATATATGCATTTGAAATCCATTCTCGTATTCAACTTATTTAATCCCGTTATTCACAAACGCGAGTTAAGTCGATGATTATATACGAGGATAGGCGACATGTATATTTCAATAAGAATCACTCATACGATTTAAATGGAGTCAGATTTAGGGGCATTAAAGAAAATAAAGAAAATCTCGATAATGCAATGGAAAGATGAATGTTATCATTGCATTATCGAAATTTATCCAAGTGACCAATTGTTTTAAAATACAGAAAGTTTCTATGACTGTAAGTAGATGGTTTACTATCGTATCTGTCTAGAAAAACATCATATTAGGATGCAAACTACCTTTAATTGAAGAGATTAATTGCGCAGACTGGGTACGATGAAGCCGAAGCGATTTCGAGTCATAAATTTTTCTGTGTAAACCTGTGACTAAAAGGTTATAAACTTTAGGACTTAAAGCAGTACGCCAACACAATCGAATATACGAGGAGAGATAATGTAGTGGTTAGATTAGTCGGTTTTTAACCAGTAGGCTAGTCTCACTTCAGCTATTAAGAATTAAGCAACCGGTTAATATCATTATCTGGATTGACTTTTGCCAACTTTCGTCACCTATAGCATAAGCGAGATGTTCGTCTGGCAAACAAAGGATAAATATACTATGCAGCAGTTTGTTTCGTTCTACTTTATAGCTGATAAAATGAATTCAGTAATAGATTATATTTGTCGGTCACTAGTATTTGGCTATAGATGCCTACGGAGCACTGCTGGTCATCAAGTGAACACTTATGTTGAGGTTGGATGTAGTATATTACATAAAGATGGCAAATCAGTTGATGAGCTAGTGAATTTTTATTGACTGGATTGGTTGGAACATGTAAACTGTCAGGGTGAGATTTTAGCTATAATTGTGACTAATGGTTGGAGACGTTGGGTGATATAGCTCTGAATCAGCCACAATCCAGCAGATCCATTCACTATTTGTTTTCACTTAGATATTGAGTTTTACGATTGTTTTATACTTTTTATCTCGAAAAATTATTATTTCCTCTTGAATCATTTTGTCTCTGCCTAATCTTTTCTGTTACCTCTGATATTATTACTAATTCTACTATTCTGGTATTGGCATGAACATTTTTTTTTACTTTGTTGTAAGAATATGGTATGGCAACTTGATGGGTAAAAGTGAGTTAGGTTTAATACTACTAATGGCTGACCGATTAGTTCAAAGTCGACTACTACATAAACCTGTACTTGATGAATTCCTATAAATCTGTGTCGTCAGTAAACCAAAACATAAACAAACATATACAAAAAGACAAGTGAAAAAATTCAACTTACCATATAAGTATCCCATAAACGTATAATACATCGTAATGGTAATTCACGTATTAATAAATTATTCATCCATCGAAAAGCAAATTGTAAAAATTCAACATCATTTTGTATAAAATGTTGATACAATTTAGTATCAATACGTTCAATTAGACTAGCCAACATTTTTACATTGTTTTGTAGGCCAGGTTGAGCAAATGTATAATTATCTTGTATTGTATCCAATAGGTGTGATGTACACCAAAATACATCAGCTTCAACTGAATTCAATTGTTCACAGGTGATATCCGAATGTAGGCTTAATTCACCTGATGTATTTAAATCTATAATGTGTGGAATAAGAGGTGGAGTTGATTCAATGAGAGTAAAGCGCGGCAGAAGTAATAAGATTAACAATCAACAAAAGAGAATAGTCGAAAAGAAGTGATTTCAAAAAGAACAGATAGTGTAGTGTGCATTACTTATTTTATTTTAACACATAGATATTGGTACAATGAGGCACCAAATACATATGCGCCATACAAGTCTCATTCGATATGTGTGAGGGCTGTGATACTGCCCGGGTGCCCAAACCGAAGCAGGTGGTTTTCTAAAAAAAAAGGGCCACACCCGGAGCCTGATCCACAAGGCAGTGAGGAGATGCAGTCCCATGGAAGCCAGTGACCAATTGGTTTACACGCCATTTGTTCCCGCAGGATACTGGAGCCCATGTTCACCATTGATTTGGTTTGGGATCCGGTTAAAGCGCCGGACATTCGCTTTTCATCCTCTCATTTTCGTAAACAACACCCCCGCCACGAGAACGCAGTGAGTAGGACTTCCCTGGCCATATGAGAACATTTCGAGAGGGAGAGCGGACTCTCCCCACTCTCGGCCGTACCAGGGCATTTGGGGATACATATCAGTCAAATGTTTATCCGATTAGGTTGTAAATGATAATGATTGCCCCAAAATGAGAGCGTATAGCTGTTTGCCTAAGATCGATAAATATGTAGAATCTAAAGAAACCTCTTGATGAATTTAAAAAGAATGATTAACTATACTACGGATAAAAAGTGACATTGTTTCCATGATCTTAAAATCTTGTGGTATTAAGAAAAATCAATATCGAAAATCATTCTCTTATATATCGTGGTTTGTACTTTGATTGACGACCTTTCAGAGTAGCAATCAACCCTATGTTTGCCCAGCCCTTTATGGTTGATCGAATTCTGTTACCAATTTCAAATGCAATCGCTAGTCTGACTCGATATCATGTGCATCACGTTTTGCTGTTAGTTATTTGGATGCTTTTATCAGGATCACCTTAGCTTGGATCTCCTATTAGTTAGGATCCATTAGTAAAGTGTATCAGTAATCATGAGGGGATTAATGTAGCTTTCAGGATTCTAAACTGCTAAGATGAGATAAAACTTGAACTGTTTAGTTTAATGTGATATCTATTCAGTATACCATGCAGCATTAATGTATACATTAATTCAGTGGAAAATTAATCTATACGTTCCTCCTAATTCATTTGTGTGATATTCATTGATTTATTATTCACTGCCCGTAAAATCTATAAACAAATGAGTGTAATTGGTCAAAGTTGACATGTTACAATTGATTGATCACTGGGTGGTGATCAATGTCTTGCTTGTCTAGTCCTTATTAGTGCAAATCGAATGCTATCGATCATGTTGCAATGTGGCCACCAGGAGGTTAGTCACGGCTCGGATAGCTCAGTGGTAACGTCTCTGACTGTGAAGCTGGGTGAGATCGAATCCGCCAGGGAGCACCAGTTCCCTCAAGATTACAGGTACACCTTGCTGACGAGTGCCAAATAGCACGAAACCCAGGTCCAGGGTTTCCTGTTGACTACCTCCAACCACCATCTAAAAGTTGACATGTCTTTGAAGAGTCAATATAATATTCACTTGACATGGATCATTGTCTTATTAATTGCATTGTGTGAATCTCAGTTTCGCATCTGTTTCAAGTTCAACTTCCATACAAACCTGCATCAGATAGTATACCATAATTAAAGTATAACCTGATAACTGCCTATCATACATATACAATTATATATCACTCATTCAAACATAATGAAGACGATATCAAATGATGACTGAATTGAGACAACATCAATAAAAGTCAATCAGTGTAAAGGACTACTACATAAACAATAAAATTAGTTCTAAGTCATCAATAGAAATCAATGGATCAGTGTAAATCTCTCAGTAGTCAATTAGTGTACTCTAATTAAAAGAAAAAAATGCTTCAACAATTACATCTCTATAACAATAGATGTTATAATGTTAAATTTTATAAAAATCTAAAGAGTTTCCAACTTGTCGATAACCTTTCAATAATCATTTTACATTCTAATAAATAAACTATATAATAACTAAGAATTAGAAAGCGGTAAATACATGCAAACTTAGAAATAGCTAAATTATTATCAACTTAATAGAGAAAACGATAGAAATATAGATAACACGTTTAAAACATTTCCTTATTTAGCATTTTATCAATGACGATGTATTACATAACTAAAAGTAAAACACAAATAGATAGATATATATATACATATTGCATACTTTCATGCAGGTAATTTTGAAAAGAGAAAATAAAGAAAGAAAGTTATTCCATTTGTTACAACTTAAATCAAAAATTATTTGTAGTAATGTTTGAAGAATATTTTCCATAAATAGACAGTTCATCATTTTTTGTGTGTGGGCTGTGATACTGCCCGGGTGCCCAGACCGAAGCAGGTGGTTTTCTTAGGGGACCACACCCCGAGCCTTTGACCTAGAGGTCTAACCCACAAGGCAATGGAGCATCGTGAGGAGATGCAGTCCCATGGTAGCCAGTGACCAAAGATTGGTTCATACGCCATTTGTTCCCGCAGGATACTGGAGTCCATGTGCACTATTGGTTTGTGATCCGGTTAAAGCGCCGGACATTCGCTTTTCGTCCTCTCATTTTCGTAAACAACACCCCCGCCACAAGAAGGCAATGAGTAGGACTTCCCTGGCAGAGGCTGTATACGCGTGGCCGTGTGAGAGTATTTCGAGAGGGAGGAAGAGCCCACCCCACTCAGACATACCAGGGCATTTGGGGGCCGTGAGTTCCACTGCTAACAACTATCCATCTTTGCTTATAACGATAGAAGTTTATTTCATAATTTCTCGTCAAGCGTTACTACAAATAATCTTTATTTATTATAAATAAATAAATAATAAATAAGAGATTATTTGTAGTAATGCTTGATGAGAAATTATGAAATAAACTTCTATCTTTATCAGCAAAAATGGATGGTGATTAGCAGTGCAATTTAAGACAAAGCGCGTCTCGTCCTATTTAGGATGTACCTGGATCTCAGAGTTGATGTTCACTCTAGGACTCGAACCCAGTACAGTTCACTTCAAACGTCATTGCATTATCCACTTAGCTACTGAGTCCTGATAGCCACCTGCTTGTACAATGGGGTGAAGTTATATTCACTGAGATGTAGGTACATCCAGCTGACGAGTCACAAATAGGACGAAAAGCGCGTCCTAGATTCCACTGCTAGCCATTATCCATCTTTGCTTATAAAGCTTGTGACTTCAGGCAATATCAAGGCAGAAACTGATCAATTTCAGCCCTAAACAACAATGGGAAGGCACAAGTAAACAACATCAAGTGAATAAAACTTCTATCTTATCATATTGTTCACAAAATATTTATTAAAATTACTTTGAAAGTCATCGTGAAGATTAGAGATCCCAACAAATATATAGTTGATCTAGTTAAACAAAATGATTAAAGCTGGTATTTCAACAGCAACAAAAAAATCTAACTATCTGGAGCTATTTTCTACGGTTATTGTTAATCCCAAGCTCGAATAAAGGAGAAGGGTTTGATATAGGGTTAATAACCCCATCCAGTAAAAAGAACTTTGTTGAAGAATAATAACCAGAAACGGTACTAAATAAACATATTAAAAATTAATATTAACTCAATACTAAATTTTGCCTAACAAACCATTACGTAACTGTAGAAAATATTCAACACATCCATGGACAACTAACGATTTTAACTTAATTCTCTTATAGACTATTTGAAAATATCTCCATGACCCAAGAGTGGAACAAAAGCATCTTTCCTAACAACACCTTAGTAATTAAATACAGGTTTGCAGTATAGTCGGTTATGAATCAGAACTATTGTGTACAGGTTTAAAAACATGGTATATTGAGCTAGAAGTTGAATATTTAACCAAATGAATAATATGCCAAGGCAGAGAGAGGGTTATTAGTTTGTAAATATGCACCTCGATATGAAAGTTATAACAAATATAGGACAAGATTAATCGAAAGTTAAGATCTATTATTTAGTATAATTTTATGGGACTGCCCTAAACATGCCTAACAACATTACACCTGAGAGCAAAAAGTATTAACACTAGGTTTTTATATCGAATGAGATACTAGGCTTCTAACAAGCAGGTAATCAGTTTGAATCCCATGCCACCTACTCAGTTAGTGTGGCGAAACAGTATACTTTCTACTTTCATTTAACAAGTACAGATCCCTGAACTCGTCAACGAACCATTGTTCAATTCAATAAAGGTCGGTCAGTCAGTCAGTCAGTAACAACGTAGAACTTCGTACGTACGTACGTACATCAGTTCGAGTAGCCACATCACCTTAACACAGAGATGCAGCTGTCAATCCAAATCCCGTAGTGGTCGGTGATATTAACCGGATGCACAAATTTATTTGTTTAAACCCATAGACATTGCTACAAGGCTGCAGCAAATACATATGCGCCACACTACGTCATTTGATATGTTGTGAGGGCTGGAATACTGATCGGGTGCCCAAACCAAAGCAGGGGTCACTCCCGAGCCTTTCACCTATGAGTCGAATACATAAGGCAGTGGAGCGACGTCAGGAGACGAAGTCTTATGGTAGTCGGTGACCAACAATGGGTTTATACGCCATTTGATTTTTCAGGATCCTGGAGCCCATGCACACCACTGGTTTTGAATCAGGATTTTCCAACTCCCCTAGGTGGACTCTCCATGTCCACCAACCCGACTAAAGCGCCAGATATTCGCTTTTATTACTCTCAATTTCGCAAACAACACCGCCACCATGACAAGGCAGTGAGTAGGATTGCCCTGGCAGTGGCTGCATACACGTGGTCATGTGAGAACATTTCGAGAGGGAGAACGATCTCTTTCCACCCTCGACCGTACCGTGGCATTTGGAGGGCACAAACTGAGGAAAAAGTACGAGGATTGAGCATACGACCTTACTTTTCAGAGCTTCACTGATTCAACAAAGAAGCCACCGCTTTACAGGATAGCATCACAACTCGCTTAAATTATGTAGCTCAAAGTTGAGCACGTAAGCCTATAATTAGTATCTAATGTCTATGAACCTTGGGTTAAAAACACATTCCTATAGTATATTTATTAAAACATGCAATTAATTCTATACTAGGCATAATATTGTAAAAGCAGTAATTTTGACAGCAACGCATGCACTACAAATTTCGGGGAAATGAAAATTTTTTAGAAAGTGATCACCCTATTAGTAAGTGCAAATTAGTCAAATGTTTGATAAACATTTTGTGTCAACCTTTGCGAAATACGCAATATTTTTAGTGTTTTCTAGCAGTAACACTTACCTGATGATTTTCCATCGATCAAGCTAGGTACTAAATCTGAATGAATAGTGAGAAAATATAAATTTATATACTGTTCTTCATGAAGTACATCATTTACGAAATATAGGTTGAGCCATATCTATCTTTTTGTGTGACAGTAAACGAAACTATCCTATGGTATCACATTATCAAGCCATTGTTCCTGACAAACTCTTCTACAAAAAATACTTTCATAAAAATACATATATCAAGCTTAGAAGTATCACTATGTTCAGAACAATAGATTATACGTTATGAATGCACATATGTAGAACGAAGACCATCACATCACGGGAATATATGATGGACATGATTTAACGATGAAAATATTCCTTACAACACAATATTATTTAACTAATTATTGTGTGATGTATACTTATAGCTACTAATTATGATATGAAGTTTGGTGTTAGTTAAGAGCAATGACTAGAACTAATGAGATGAGGTTCTAAGAGATAATTGTATTTATGTGTTTATATACGTGAAAATCCTCCATATGTGCACTCCATGTGGCAACAATTCTTCGTTTCCCTCTCTATATAATGCTTCTCCTATCGCCCTCAGTACTTACATAAATTACGCCCAAATTTCTTATTGAGTTGTGATGATATGATAATTTCTATAGGCTAAAATAGATCGATTCTTTGGTGTTGTTGAATCTTTCAATAACTACTTCATCTTTATTTTAAGTAACACTGTCTTCAGGAAGTTGAAATTTTGGACTGCTGGTAATTAAGTTGTTGCGGTATGAACCCCGACCGTTGCTGCTACCTTGAAGTAGTAGTCGAGATCGCCGATCAGAATGAACCAATCGAGATACATTGGCTGGAACAATCGTTCCTCAAGGTCCTACAATAACAGAAAGGTCGGTTGAAGAACAGTAAGAATAAAAGCAACAAACCAAAGGTCCGAAGGCCAAGTCTTATTTCTAACTGTACAGAGGTGTGACGGCAGTAAGATTTTTCCTTCAGACAACCAGCATAACAGCCATGTTACCTTCCCACAAAAGTAGGGTGGGTTTGACAAAGTCCATCTTAAGAATGCACACCTCGCCTTAATCCACGGATTTCCGTCTCCAGTGGTAAGGTCTCGACAGATACGGAGCTAACACGGAACTTACGAAAAGGTCGTGTGTGACTGGCCTCAAGCAGTTGTCCCTTGGACACTGAGGTTAAGCTCTCAGGTCATTAAGACCACTAAATACGAGATCAGAATAAACACTATTAGAGTGGATCCCCGTTAACAGTCATCTATGTGCTGTTCGGCTAAACGGCTCCGTAAGAACTCGGAAGGATAGGGACACGCGTCGTTGCCTTTTTGTCGTTTCTGCTTACGCTCCCATTGACTGCAGCCCGGATGGAGTGAAGGATGACTTTTACAGAAAGCTTTCTGAAATTCTTCAGAAAGCAGAACCTTCAGACATAGTACTCGTAGCAGGTGATTTTAATGCCCAGGTAGGTTGTTTTAACCAAACAGAAAGGCATTTAGGTGGGTAATTTGGTATTCCGGCACAAAAACAGATAATGATGATCGTCTGCTGCAACTGTACTCAGACAATTGTTTATTTTCAGCAAACTAATTTTAAGCATAAGGAGAGACATCGTCTAACATGGCGACCCCCTACACCAAACCAACGATGGACTCAAATATACCATATTGCATCAGTCATCGTTGGAGAGGGTCGATAGAAGATTGTCGCTCATCCTGGAATACCTGTTTGGACTCCGACCATGTTCTAGTACAGGTACGCATCCGCTTACGCCTCAATGGACGCAGAAAAGCCACACCAAGAAGACCCATTAGAATTGAATTGAGTGACGAGAAAGCCGAAAGTAGATTCCAGAAACAACTGAGGTCACACCTAGGTAGTTTTGAAGACGAGGCTGACCCGGATATTGCTTGGATAAATATACAACAACTGTGGAAACAGAAGTGACGTCTATTAATGATTTAAACCACAAGGTTACAAAAAATCAATAGATTTCTTCCAAGTCTACTGCAATGATGGGTTCTCGTAAACTCATCCTATCACGTTCCGAAAACGATGACGAGCGAAAGCGAATCAGATCTAGATTAAGCAAAAGTCTAAGGAACGACCGTCAGCAGTGGTGGGCAGCGAAAGCAAGAGATGGAAAAGGCGGCGGCTATAGGGAACACAAGACAGCTCTACAGACCAATAGAAGAAACTGGAATTAACAAGTCAAGTGTAAGTCGGACTATTTCGGAAAAAGACGACACCCTCATCTGCTCTCAGTCCAGACGTTTAGAACGATGGGCAGAACATTTCAGAGAACAGTTCAGCTGGTCTTCAGCTACTCTACAACTACCCTCCATTACCAGACAGTGTGAATGGAACACTGAAGTAGGTCTCCCAACTTTAGCAGAAGTTCAAAAGACTATAGTTAATCTGAAACGAGGAAGGGCAGTTGGTCCAGATGGATTGGCTCCAGGGGTCTCTAAGGATGGTGGTCCAATTTTGGCGATTAGGTTGGCTCATATTTTAGCTAAGATCTGGGAGTTAGATGTTATTTTATCTGACTGGTCACAATCACTTATCGTCCCAATATGTAAGAAAGGATCAAAATCATCTTGTGACAACTACAGAGGGATTAGTTTAACAAATATAGTATCTAAAATACTAGCCTCAATAATAATCAGACGCCTAACTAAGACTCGTGAACTGGAGACATTAGAAAATCAGTCTGGCTTCAGACCTGGTCATGGATGCATAGACCACATATTCACCATTCGCCAGGTTCTAGAACACAGGCATACTTATCGGCGTCCGACAATGGTGGTCTTTCTTTACTTAAAAGCAGCATTTGACTCGGTAGACCGCGAGATTCTGTGGCAGTGTCTGTCATTGAAAGGCGTACCTCAGAAGTACATAAACCTTGTGTAGGCTCTTTATTCGAACACTACTAGTCGAGTCAGAGCTTACAGCGAACTGTCATCTGATTTTGTAACCTCAAGTGGTGTCCGTCAATGCTGTCCATTTTCTCCACTTTTGTTTAACTTCATCATAGACATACTGATGGAAATAACGTTCTCGTCGACTGAGTTCTCGGTTATTGATCTCCTTCCAAGAGGTTCACTTATCAACTTAGAATACGCAGATGACAGTCCTGTTTGGTGAAGACGCTGATAAAATGCAGAGTCTTCTGGTAGCACTAAGCAACAATGCCAGAATGTTTGGAATGAGCTTCTCTTCCTCTAAATGCAAGTTGTTGCTTTAGGACTGGTTTGCGTCAACACCTGAACTAAGGATAGGGAATGAAGTAGTCGAACGCGTTGACAACTTCACTTATCTTGGAAGTCTGATCAGCCCTAATGGGTTGGTGTCTAACGAAATCTCAGCACGGATTCGGAAAGGTCGTTTGACTTTTGCCAACTTACGTCACTTATGGCGAAAACGAGATATCAGTCTATCAACAAAAGGACGAGTATAATGCGCAGCAGTTCTCCCTGTTCTACTTGACGTCTGCGAAACATGGCCATTAAGAGTAGAAGATACTCGTAAGCTGCTAGTGCTTGACCACAGATGCCCTAGAAATATAGCTCACATCTACTGGGTTCACCATGTAAGTAATAGTGAGGTTAGACACAGGGTATTATGGAATGATGATAAATCAGTTGATGAGGCTGTGAATTTCCATCGACTAACATGATTGGGCCACGTGTTACGTATGCTTGGACACCGATTACCACGACGCCCAATGCTCACTAGTGTTGGAGACAGTTGGAAGAAGGTTAGGGGCGGCCAAACCAAAATGTGACATCAGTACATAAAGTCACTAAATTCTGGTCTGAACCATTTTGGTAGATGTAAACTACTTGGTTGGGGTCCGCGCGACTACCGTAATCAATGGTTGAAGACTGGGTGACATAGCTCAGAATCGATCACAATGGCGTAGGTGTATACACTCTTTTTCTTCCCTTACACCCTGAAATTAAAATCACTTTATGTCTTTCTTTCTACGAAATAATTCTTTCTTCCTGTATTATATCCCTATACACAATCTTTCTTTTATATATTACTACCATTGAAGTAATTACTATGAATTTGGTGTTCATCTTGTTGTACTAATGAGGTATTGCAACTTGGGCCGATGCATATATATGCCTGGTCCTACGTCGTAGATGACTGACTGTTATGTGAACTTTCTAGGTCCATTTGGGATCATGTGCCTAGTCCTTTAAATCACAACCTGTTTAGCAGCGTAATAAGTTTTCTTGATAGGTATTTTTGGCCTCTGTCATAAAATCATACTGTGTGACCAGATTGTTCAAAATGTTCAGAAGGAAGAACCAGTACATTGGGATCCAAATGAACTACCACTGCTATTTTTTTAAAACAAAATTAGTATTATTAATAATGGTGATTATTGAACAAACCAACAAGTGTGCAATTGATATTACATGCAGGAAATGATCGAAAACAAAGTGCGCTTTAATGACTTCGGAATATCCGATGAGCAGGTTAGTTTAAAATAGCTACATTTATTATTAGTACCTCAAATAATTTGTAGTTAACAGTCATTAATAGTTCATAATAATAATAATAATAACCATATGACATAATGGTTTCTATGATACATAAATTAAACAATATATATATCTGGGCTGTATCTCATATATTAGCTAACTAAATACTGGATATTTTATTTTTTTAAAAGCTTAGAACTAGCTAACTGACTAATGTGTAACTGACAGTGGTTCGTCTATTTAACCTGCCTAAACGTTTTCCTGGAATTTCGAAATATCCTTACCATGGATTAACAAATGTTAATATTAAGCTTTAAAAATAACTGGTTATTTTTTCAGTCACCATTACTTCTACGGAGGGTTTTACTAAGGTCCAAAACATACACACACTAATACGCCTTTAAATACCAATATTACCTACATGAAGTCAGATTTCTAAAGAATCTGAGTAGTACTAAGAAGTTACTAACTATGAAAAATATGATGCTAATTACATAACTATTTCTGTTGGATCATGCTAGTTTTGGAGTAGTGTATAAAATGCTTTTTTTATCAATGTAGATACAAGATAGAAATTGAACAAGGAAGAATAAAGAGGGATAAAACTACAGAATAGTGTGCGCAAATATGATAGAAATGAATGGATAACATTGTCCATATTAAGCGAAGTTGTCACAGATACTGTATTATACATTTCCTATCAAAATAAACGTAGAATAATGCAAATCTTTAGCAGATATCGAAAAAAGAATTTACAACAAAATATACGAAACTTACCAACATGAGTGTATTCTGATAAAAATACAATGAAGAATGGAGTTAACAAATCATTGATACCTTGTACATAACCAATTCCGGGATGTCGCATAGACCAGACAAATAGAATTCGTTCAAACATCTGTACAGTGTGAAAGACAAAAAAACAGACGGTAAAAGTTATTTTAGAGAATCATACCTGAAAACTGATAAATTTAAAAATATGTCAATAACAGTAATATGTTAATAATAATCAGTATAGGGTTGTGGAGATTGTTGAGTTTTAACTGAGATCACGAACCAATCAATGTTAGACTACCATTGAAAACTTGGAGGCACTGGACAGCCGTTTCGTCCTAGTATGGGACTCTTAGTGCGCGTCCAAGAACCCACAGGTGGGAATCAAACACAAGATCTTCAGTCTTGCGCCCGAACTTTTAATCTCTAAACCACTGAGCCGGAATCTAAAAGTGTTAATGTCTAACTCCAACCAATCCATCATATTGCGCAACCCTTCATCGATTGCGTGTGCTGGATAAATGTCTCAAGCCCGACATGGATTTAACTAAACTGGTTATGGATTGTCAGTAAGATTTCGGGAGTTATGTCTTGAAGCTAGTCACCAGTGACCACATAATTGTGATTCGTATGGATGATTTGTTGAGTGTAGTTTATTTATTTATTATTTATTTGAACACATAAATATTGGAACAAGAGAGCGCCAATATATATGCGCCACACAAAAAAATGAAAATTCGAAGAGAGATAGAAAAAAAACTAAGGAGCACAAAAGAGAATGATAACGAAGAGATTGGTGTAAGGTAGTGTGGTCGTAACGATGGAACGGAAAGGTACAATCAGAAGAAATCTTTCAAGTAAGGGAGACACAACCACTTTTTATGAAGAAAGTAAAAGAAGGTTACAGCAGGATCGCCACTGGCTTCTATTCTGAGCCATATCTGATAACGTCTCTAGCCACTGTGTAGCACCATCTCTCAGACCCCAACCAGGGAGTCGTGAAGGACCGACAGAAGCCAGTCCTTTGCAGCTTTCTTTCATACCACGACACCATGTCATGCACTGACCACCTCTCTGCTTTTTCCAACCAGTCCCAGAGTCGACAAATAATGCACGACGTGGAATTCTCTGGGACGACATTCGTAGAACATGTCCAAGCCACCGAAGTCGGTGTTTCAAGATGGTGACACCAATTGAATTATCATTGAATTATCTGTGCCCAAACACACGATGCCGAACCTCTGCATTACTGACATGGTGTTGCCACTGAATGTCAGCAATCCTTCGGAGACAGCGATGATCGAACACAGAGAGTCGTCTAACGTCCTCAACTCGGAGAGGCCAGGTTTCACAAGCATAGAGCAAAACTGCTCTCACCGACGCGTTGTAGATCCGACCTTTTACAGCCAGACTAACATCACGAAGGCGCCAAAGATGGCCCAGATTGGCATAAGCCACTCTGGCTTTCACTATACGTGCATCGATCTCATCACTCACACCCCCACCAGCACTTATGCAGCTACCCAGATACACGAACATCTCGACTACTTCTATCTGCTCACCACCCAGGGTGAGTACAGGATTGGAATCCTGCCAGTCTTGTAGAAGTACCTAGCACTTCGAAGGTGCAAAGCACATACCCATACTTACAGACACTGATTGCCAACCGACTAAGTGTGGATTGCATGCCTTGGGCGTTATCACACTGTAAGACAATATCATCCGCATACTCAAGGTCGAGAAGTCTTTCTCCAGGCAACAGATCCACACCACCATTACTTACATTCATCAGAGCTGTTTCCAGAATGTCATCGATGGCAAAGTTGAAGAGGAATGGTGAGATTGGGCAACCCTGCCTAACCCCACTACTCGAATGGAACAATGGAGAGAGGTGGTTGTATGCCCTCACTCTGCCTGAGGTGTTTTTATATAGGGCTTTTAGGATGTTAATAAACTTCTCAGGCACACCCTTCTTCAATAGACAATCCCAGAGAACAGTCCTATCCAACGAATCGAAGGCAGCCCTGATGTCAAGAAACACTACGATTGTTGGCCTTTGATAAGTATGGCAATGTTCTAACATTTGGCGGAGGGTGAAGATATGATCAATACAACCTCGACCAGAACGAAACCCAGCCTGCTCCTCGCGAGTCAATCTTTCTCGGGTTTTGAACAACCTACGAAGTATGACGGAAGCCAATAGCTTGGACGCGATCGGAAGTAGACTTATCCCCCGATAGTTGTTGCAGGAACGACGTGAACCCTTTTTAAAGATAGGGACAACTATCGACTCATTCTATGACGTTGGTACACTCTCTAATTCCCAAACCTTTGTAAACAACGTCGTCGATTCCTTAGTCAAAAAGTCACCACCATCTTTAAAAAGAGCCGGAGGTAAGTCATCTGGGTCAGGTGATTTGTAACGCTTCAAGAGTTGGATGCGCACTGCTGACGGGTCCCATACTAGAACGAAACGGCTGTCTACTGCTTCCAGGTTTTCAATAGTGGTTTAACGTTTATTTCAATTGAAACCCGACAATCTCCAAAGCCCTATACTGATGATTGTCATGTGCCCACTAGTGACCAGCTTCGAGAGGTAATTCTCGGAGTTGTAATGAGAAGCCGTGACCAGTTGGTTTTAACCTGGTCGGATGTAAGGCGGTTACTCAATGAAGACAATGGAAGATGGCTGTGTAATGTCGTGAATAATAATAATAATAATAATAATAATAATAATAATAATAATAATAATAATAATAATAATAATAATAGTGCTCTGAGTATGGCCGTTAGCAGTATATTCAGTTATAGCCATAAAACGTGGTCATTGGCAAACCGAAACAATGTATAGGCTGATATTACTCAATTATCAATTCATTTAAAGGATTACCTCTTCATGGTGGGACTAACTTGTGATGGTTAAGCGTAGGGTACTGCGTAGTGATGGTAACTTAGTTAATGACATTGTTAACTCACTGGACGAGATAATTAGGATACATGTTATACACATTTAGTTACTATATAAGAAGGTCGAAAACAACAAGGGATAAGCCGACAAAAATGTAGGACAAATCTATGAAATAATTATCTATTGAACTGGGTCGTGACAATCGCTGCAAACCTTCTGGTCAAGGTGAACAAGGTAATCGTAATATGTGACTGAAAATAAATGGAATGGTTCAAGATTGGTAGTAGATGTGAAAGTATATTGTCTGCTATCTTTGTTTAAATGTTTCACACTCCTCGTTCCTCTATGTTATTTATTCCTTTCGGATTATACTTCATATATTTGGTTTTCTTTACTAACGAAATTAATTATTTTGATTTCCTTGTCTTGAGCACCGCTGTTGGTTCAAAACCAGAGTTTTCTAACTGCTCTAAGTGAATTCTTAAAATTTATTAACCCCATTTATACACTAAATGTCAAGTTTTGTTGTTTTATTTTTGTGAAAGTACTATTTCAGCGCGAACGTAATGAGTAGAATTTTTCCGAAAGTATAAAGTCTCAGTCGTGTGAAAGTATTTTCAGAGCAATTCGGGGAGACAGTAGGTGTGTAAAATACATTTTGATCATCCCTATAAACATCCAAAGCATCCATCCAATTATTTTCCCATTTCCAAGCTACAATTTAATCATATTGCTGACAACATAAAACGATATTTTTTGTTTAAACGCTCAGCAACAATATAACTTACTGCAACCATTTCGGGCCTTCGATAAAGTAATGTCATTCTGTTTAAATCTTTCTGAATTTGATGAAACATTGGTTTATGTTTAACATTTTCACGTAAATGAAAATACTGACTAACAAAAAGTGTATATTGTTTACGTTTATCCGCTAGTACAGTGACACGTCGTTCAAGACTAGTTGGAAGATAATCCTGGAACGTAAAAAATGATTTTAAAAAAGAGTAGGAAATACTTGGTTAAAATACGAATTACGATGACAAATTTACTTCCTTTGCAATATTGATTAACACTACATCTCAGACGTGACACCGTCATTCAGTGATCTAGTCAGTCAACTAACGATACATTATTGACAGTTCAAACACAACAGTTTTGGTTGAAAAGTCTAGTGTACACAGATGTATTCGTTAATTTAGCTTAACGTTACAGTTTAGAACTACGATTCCCCATACGATTTTATTTGTAATATACTGTAAACGACTAGTAATGAAAGCGCTCAGTTAAGATAAAATGATTTCAAAACCTAAAAAAAGACTTTTTAGCTGTATTATGTGTCCGAAAATGAAGAAATGCACACTACTCGAACTTCAAGAATATGTGTCTACTTTGTTGTCTATTTGCAAATGTTACAGCTGTGATTAAGATTTCGAACGCGACAGAAACATGGATCTTTAAAAGGTGGTAAGATATCAATTACTGACAAATACAAACACGAGGGATGAAAAACATCCTGACAATTTTCACAATTTTTTAAATGTCCATTACTGAGTGAGTGTATGAAGAACGCATTTACATATTTAGCTCCAAGTAGTGCCTCTTGTATTTGCGAAGGCTTACGATACAACATAGATGTTCAAACCGAAGTAGACGGAGTAATATTTAAATTTGCAACACATTAAGTGAAAATCGAGTACTTGAATCACAAACCCACTACTCTTTACAAATAAAAAGATATCACAAATAACCTTCGTGTGTTAGAAAATGCCTCACGGATATGCATAAACTTACACGTACATTATGCAGAATAAATAGAAAAGGAAACAGAATCTTATAGAGATGATCGGTGAAAAGTTAACCCGTTAATAAATACTCATACCATTACGAAAATAAATAGACCAAAATTTCTGAATAGGAAACCAAATTCTTACACATAACAATTTCCATACTGTTGGTCGAAGTTCTCCTGGAATTCCAGACCAAGAAAGTTGACGCAATACAACTAGAATGAAAGAGACGATGTTTAAAAGAAAAGAAAAACATAGAGATCAACACTCATCATAACTAATACACTAGGCACACTCTGAAAAAAACTTTCTTAGAGAGTAATGTATAAAAAGAATTTCCAATCAATAAGTCCCTGCCAAGAAAATTTCGACAGTGTATCGAGAAGACATAGTTAGACTAAGGAAAGCGATATATTTACGTTACACATTTCGAACAATCTAGTCACGCATACTCGTCACGGCATTTCACAAGAAAACCAATAAAAGTCAATTAAATAAAGGTTCAATAAATATACAGCGATAATTGGAAATAAAGGAGAAAAAATCAATATACTGTGGGAAAAATAGAAGATTGTCATATTAGCCTAAACCCTACAACGGGTTAACGATTATCAGGACAGATTCAAGGTTAAAACAAACTGCTTCTGGACACATAAAGGAAGTTTGAGTTTTCTAATGACCGAGGCATTCTACAAACTGAAGAATGCGTCCTTCACAAATCCTAAACTATGAGTTGGAAGCTGTTTTAAGGCAAATCATATGACCTGCTTTGATTGTGTTATGCAATCGACGGGCATGGTCTTTTACTCCTTGAGTTTTTCGGGGCAGTTGAGACTAAATAATTATTACTGCATTTTGACGCATGCTTTGTCACCCTCTATTACAATCTTCAATTAATCCCCTTGTGTGTCCACACACATGTGAATTGGTCAATACAGTGGGATATTTAAGACTATGTGGAGTCATCGACTTCATCTTCTTGATAACAACTAATTTTACAGTGTTGTGATTTTTCGATGGATGTCTTACTCGCTACTTTACAAAAATGCTATCTGACTCTCCTCTATAAATCAATGTGATGTAAAACCTTTTCTTCGTAACATAATCAAGAAAACGTTTCAGGGTTAACTGGCTTTTATACAAATTTAGAAGCTTTAAAGGACATCCGTTTAGTGTTAATGCTTGGGATATTAGTTTTATAACCACTTTAATCGTATATTCATTGAAGATTCGTTAAACTATGTTGAAGACCCACCTTACCACGCCTCACTACAGAGAACAGAAACTCTGAAAGTTGCCATAATTCAAATATCACATTTTGCATACCTGCTGACATACACACATAAATACACGATGTTTTACGTAGACTCAGCTTGACCGAAATGATATGGTCAGACGCATTTTGTTTGCAATAAATATTCTGCTTTGTTCCTCTGTACTACATAAACGTAAGTTGATTTCACTTGGTTATTTGCGGAAGAAGTGATTTAGACTGAGGAACGAAACTCAATTTTCTACTCGCTGGGATTTCGCAAATATATTACTTTATTATCATGTGGAAGCCTAATATTTGATCAGTTTACGTGAGTTTTCTATAAACTGGTCGTCACAATTGATTGATCACTGGGTGGTGATCAATGTCATGCTTGTCTAGTCCTTATTAGTGCAGATCGAATGCTATCGATCGTGTTGCAATGTGGCCACCAGTCTAGGTGGCTCGACACTGAGGGCACTATGTATTGAGATTTAGATGGTGGTTGGAGGTAGTCAACAGGAAACCCTGGACCCGGGTTTCGTGCTATTTGGCACTCGTCAGCAAGGTGTACCTGTAATCTTGAGGGAACTGGTGCTCCCTGGCGGATTCGATCTCGCGTCACCCAGCTTCACAGTCAGAGACGTTACCACTGAGCTATCCACCAGGGAGCACCAGTTCCCTCAAGATTACAGATACACCTTGCTGACGAGTGCCAAATAGCACGAAACCCAGGTCCAGGGTTTCCTGTTGACTACCTCCAACCACCATCTAAATCTCAATACATAGTGCCCGCAGTGTCGAGTCACCTAGACTGGTGGCCACATTGCAACATGATCGATAGCATTGGATCTGCACTAATGAGGACTAGACAAGCATGACATTGATCACCACCCAGTGATCAATCAATTGTGATTACATCTCAGTCCTACAGGAGGTTAGTCACAGCTCGGATAGCTCAGTGGTAACGTCTCTGACTGTGAAGCTGGGTGAGATCGGATCCGCCAGAGAGCACCAGTTCCCTCAAGATTACAGGTACACCTTGCTGACGAGTGCCAAATAGCACGAAACCCGGGTCCAGGGTTTCCTGTTGACTACCTCCAACCACCATATAAACTGGTCGTCTTATAGTTCCGTCATCTCTTTGACTCAAAAGTATGTCTAGAAAAGGAAACTGGTTGTTATTACCTCACAAGTTACTACACTATCGTTCTGTATGTTTGTAGTGAACGAGAACACGGGTGGGGACAAACGGATGTATTTAGCACAACAATTACAGTTTATCTCAACAAAATCTGAATACCATATAGTAAATCGTCAATTTGCAAAATATTCATGCATCAAACCAAACTAGACTGTTTCTGTTGCAAACACCAATCCATTGTCTCCCATTCCATTGTTCATACATTTTCTTACAAATTCCATTGTGTTCTCGCTCTACCTTTCTTGATCTTCGCCATCTTCCGCTGCTAGACATTACGTTCTTCTAACGCACGTTATATACTACTTATATCAATATAAGTAGCTCACACCACATGTTATTAAGTTTATCTAATAACGAAGTTGTTATGATCTTGGTCAACCCGCTGGCCGTGTAGTTGGATGTGCAGGGGAATCTGTCTTTGATTCTTTAGACTACTTAACATAACCTTGAAACCGCGAATGCGTGAATCCGACTTCTGAATGATTGGTCTTGCAGACGGAGAACTATCCCATTCGCTAACTAACGGTGCGCTACGCGGACACCGAATGGTTGGGAAGGGAAAATGACTGTAGTAAAACCTTTTAATCGGAGCAGGATACGAAATTCGTGTCCAAATTACGATAAATTTCAAATAAAGATATGATAATAATTTACAAACTAAACGAAAGCTTTTGATTAGGGGAAAAAGGAAGTCACATAAACCAAATGTCAGTAATGACAGATTGAGAATTAAGCGTACTAATGTCCCAAAAATTAGCTTTCTTAGTTTTTCATTTGTTTTTATCTTCATGACAGAAGTCACATCGAAGTCCCTATCACATACAACCAAGATATTACGCACGTACCACCTACACAGTGACCGCACTGAGTTTACTCGTCACATTTCCAACATGTGACATACAAACATCAATTAAGAAAGTTCCTGCAATGTTAACCATACCTACATCAAACACTTGTCGAAAGCGTTCACCCTCAATTATGAACCGAACTTAGTCAGCAAATAATAAAAGTGATTCTCTAAATTGTGTTGACCAAGTAGGAAACATACTACATAAGCAATCAAAAAAGAATACCAACAGTTTTCACTAAAGGCATATTAGTGAATCCCGACCCTGCTACCTTGACCTGATGGTCGAGATTTTGATCGGAATGAACCAATCGAGATATATTGGCTGGAACAATCGTTTCTCAAGGTCCTAGAATAACAGAAAGGTCGGTTGAAGAGCGATAAGAATAAAAGCAACAAACCAAAGGTCCGAAGGCCAAGTCTTATTTCTAACTGTACAGAGGTGTGACGGCAGTAACATTTTTCCTTCAGACAACCAGCATAACAGCGATGTTACCTTCCCACAAAAGAAGGATGAGTTAGAAATAGTTCATCTTAAAAGTGCACACCTCGCCTTAATCCACGGATTTCCGTCTCCGGTGGTAAGGTCTCGACAAGTACGGAGCTGACAGGAAAATTACGCACGAAAAAGTTGTGACTGGCCTCAAGCAGTTGTCCCTTCGGCAATGTGGTCACGCTCCCAGATCACTAAGACAGCTTCTAACCCAATGTCCTTTTCAGGTGCCTCTAGAAGAAACCTTCCAAGGTGTGGGCAACCGGGAAGTGATAACCGCCCTCATAGCTCTAACAGCACTCATATTAGTAAATATCAAGTTAGTATTCACGCCAATAAGATCAATAAGTTCAAACGTAACTTTTAACAAAAACTTACATAATTTGTTGTGCAATAGGTTTGGCAGTTTTGTCAACTATTTTACGAGTTTATGTGTAGGTGAACTAAATATAGATAATATTGATTTTCAGAAACTACTCGATTTGTGAACTTTAGGCGATCCGCATAAATTTGAGAGTTTAGATTCCATAAGATTTAGAATATTAAGTTCCTCTTTGGTAATAATATTTATGTTAATAAGTTTTTCACTAGATTGCAGTTTACTCTAGTTTACAATTTCCTAACATCACAACCGAGGACTATGATAAACTTCCTTTCATTATAATAATGGATAAAATATTTTTCTTATAGTCACATTTGTTCACAACAACACCTAAACCTTTATCGTACTTGCAAACACGATATTTAATCTACTCTGGAGGTTTTTTAAGGCATTAAAACATTTAGTCATTTGGATATTATCTTTTTTGACGAGCATGAAATTGAAGAGCAATATCGACAAATTTCACATTCAGATAACCATAAATGGTTGACAGAGTAGCAAAACGATACTCATCGATTGCATAACACAATCAAAACAGTTCATATGATTTGCCTTAAAACAGCTTCCAACTCATATCTTAGGATTTGTGAGGGACGCATTCTTCAGTTTGTAGAATGCCTCGGTCATTAGAAAACTCAAACTTCCTTTATGTGTCCAGAAGCAGTTTGTTTTAACCTTGAATCTGTCCTGATAATCGTTAACTCGTTGTAGAGTTTAGGCTAATATGACAACCTTCTATTCTTCCCACAGTATATTGATTTTTTCTCCTTTATTTCCAATTATCGCTGTATATTTATTGAACCTTTATTTAATTGACTTTTATTGGTTTTCTTGTGAAATGCCGTGACGAGTATGCGTGACTAGATTGTTCGAAATATGTAACGTAAATATATCGCTTTCCTTAGTCTTACTATGTCTTCTCAATACGCAACTGATTAGACTAAAGAAGTGGATATCCTTAAAATTACCATTTTGTGACGTCATTGGTAGGGGTTATGTAACAGTATGGGTGTTACATAGGACTTTCACCAACATACATAGTAACACATTTAACACCCTTCACAAGTTTACGAAAGAGATCCCAATAATATGTGTGTACAACGCGGATCACCTTTAAAGACTATAAAAGATACTTGAATCCACAATAACTTACATGAATAGCTACTGTAAAATCAACTGTTTACTTTATTATAAGTTGACAGGTGATTTAATCACGGCGAATGAAAGAATAAATGACCTTAGAGCTTATATACAGTTCTTTTTTCTTGAATTATCGCAAAAAAAAACTCAAAAGGACTGTGGGTGAGTAGAAATACCATTAATAAACCAAAGACTGTACATTATAGGGTTTCCAACTGAAGTAACAACTGTGGGAATATAATGCTGTTTATGCTGTTTATGACTGACTCATCAAAAATCTAACCGGATAGAAACGAAAGAATATTAAAGTTGAAGACTAAGAAAACCATTTAGAACTATTTTCCTCAAACGATGTTTTCGAAATCTACATCACTGAAAACTAATGATAAATAAATGACAGCACAAGTGAATAACTGGATAAATCCGAAGGTATGAAACCGACCTCTTGAAAGTTAACACGATGAAAAGATTGATTCTAGCAGCATATCTATGATGATATTAAATAAAGAGTATGGTATGTGCTTTGCACCTTCCAAGTGCAAAATACTTTTACAAGGCTGGTAGGATTATAGACGTGCACTCACCCTGGGTGGTGAGCATATAGTGCTGGTAGTGACGTGAGTGATGAGATCAATTCACGTATAATGAAAGTCAGAGCGGTTTGTGCTAATCTAGGCCACCTTTGGCGCCTTCGTGACGTTAGTCTGGCTGTAAAAAGTTAGATCTACAACGCGTCGGTGAGAGCAGTTCTGCTCTATGCTTGTGAAACCTGGCCTCTGCGAGTTGAGGATGTTAGACGACTCTCCATGTTTGATCATCGTTGTCTCCAAAAGACTGTTGACATCCAGTGACAACACCATGTTAGTAATGCAGAGGTTCAGTATCGTGTGTTCGGACACAAAGACGACAATTCAATTAGTGTCACTATCTTGAAATATCGACTTTAGTGTCTTGGACATGTCCTACGAATGTCGGCTCAGAGAATTCCTCGTCGTGCATCATTTTCCGACGCTGGGACTGGTTAGAAAAAGCAGAGAGGTGGTCAGTGTATGACATGGTGTCGTGGTATGAAAGAAAGATGCACAGGACTGGCTTCTGTTGGTCCTTCTCGACTCCCTGGTTGGGGTTCTAGAGATGCTGCAACAAGCAAGTTATCCCTAATTCTCATCTACAGGGGACGTTTTTCCGTTTGGGTAGTGAAACTACCCAGTCTCCCAAATTCAATTTTATTATGAGATAACTTTTAGCTAGGTTTTTAACCTAAAAGCTCAAACCACAAGGTTATGGAACAAATCAAAGATATGCGTTCCTTGGACAGGTGGTGGTCATAGTAAATTCATGTAGCATTTGTTTCTTCAGGATCCTAAATCTAAGTGGTTGGGAATTATGTTTTTCAAACCCTCTTGCACATACAGCAGTCCAGTTTGACGGTTAGATGTTTTTTTCACACTTTTAATTTAGTGAGAATATAATCAATCCGTCAAAGAAATTAGTAAAACCAATGTCCTAAAATAGTAAATTAATGGGACAATTCAGAAAGAAAGAAAGAAACGAATCTCCTAACTTCTCTACCCAAATGCTCATGGTAACTAATGTATTGTCAACGTGAAAAGTGAGAGATTTTCATATTCTCAGCAGTCTGCGTCAACTATTTTGATGTTTATAAAAGGTCGAAAATGTTTTCTTTGTTACATGGCTTCGAAGTTAACACAAAGCTTTACAAAGAACTAAGGCAAGGTCACATACCTAAATCTGTTATACTTGAGTTGACACACGTATTGAAACGTTGGGTTCGACCTTGATCTAACAGCTTCCGATGAGCAACAGGAAAATCATCAGGACTTGCTCTCAATCTCACACCCATACCAGGAGCATGTTTCGGGGATTTGTCATATGGGAGTACGAGTGAATTTTTAATATCAAGAGATTCAATCTGAAAACAAGGGAAAGAATAAATTGATAAAGTATGTAAGATATTATGGACAAAGGTAACAGTTTTAAGTGGATGCCAGACACTGGTAAGTACATATTACCCATATATATTTGGGCGAAATTATTGTACGAGTAAAATAGTCCTCATAAACATACCATACCAAATAGGAAAATACCTCGCCTTGAGGCTAGACAGAGTGCAGAACAAATCTAATGCACACGTTCCGCAAATGAATAAAAACTGTCAAATTCTGTAATATGACGTATTTATTTAAACGCAAACATTAGTACAAAGAGGTATCAATAGAAAACTACAGTGAGACAATATACAGTTTTTATTATCAACCAGCTGGTACACTAACATGGTCCCGAGTTCTTGGATCTTAAACCCTAACCAATGGGTGATGATGGACCGATAGTTTTCAATACAACTATGCATCATTCCACAGAGTCATACAATAAATTTAGTCCCTCTCAATTTTCTACCCAGGACCATAGTCGACGAACAATACTCGACAGAAAATCAACTGAAACATGCATTAAATATGATCAAACCACCAAAGATTATATATTCACTATGTATAAATACTGGATATGAACAATCGTTAGGACACAACTTTACTGAACACAGACGCTGAATGTTCCCAACTCATAAAATCAGGTTTTGCAACAAAGAACCAGTTATTTGCACCAGCACATAGTGAACTTGACTTCTTACACCTGCAGTAGCTCCGCGACAACGTGGGAGGTGTTCGCAGGAAGCATCAATATATAGCTTTTGCGACTCGGCAAAACATCAAAAAGTAGCAGGCTTGGTGGACAAAAGAATATATATTTATATCGATTTAATAGACCACCATGGAAAACCCAGAAGCACTAGACGGTTGTTCCGTCCTAGCATGGGGCTCATCAAAAGTGCGCATCCACGATCCTACTAAACATTAACACCATTGGATGCCAGCTTAGTGGTCTAGAGGCTAAGCGTTCGAGTGCGAGACCGATAGGTCTAGTTAAAACTAGGACGAAACGGCCGTTCAGTGCTTCTACGTTTCCCATGGTGGTCTAGCTTTAATCGACTCATGAATGCAACTATTAAATTATTATAATATCCACAAGACCCCCTTCCGAATACATTTATATATTTGTGACATAATAGTGCTTTAAAAATTCCAATGTTCCACAAAACAACCCTAATTAATGAAATATTGTTTCACTATAAACCTATCTATAGACTGGTTCGATTTAGTTTTCAGCATAATCGGGCGTACTTAGAGGTTTCTAGGTAAATTAGGACCGAATTCATGGTTCATATCTTAAACAATTAAATGCAACAGAACCAAGAATATTGTTTTCGCTTTAGTTGGATTTACTTCAGTTAAAGTAATCGCCAAGAGCATCATTTTTTCTAAAGTAATTTATCATCTGTACTATTTGAGTACGGAAACAAAAACAGCAGTGGCGTTTTTCTCTTCGTTTAGTATATCTTTTAGTATTATTTGTGTCCAAAAGTGTTAAGGCCTTTTTGGTACCTATTTAAGTCGGAGTTTTGTTTTTAGTTACAGTAACATATAAACCTCAGCTTTTTGAGTTTATCGTCTATCACCTTTAAAGACTTTGAAGACACTTATCCTAGAGATCAGATTTTTTTGTTTTCTCTATGAGATCACTAACCAATTTTATGATGCAAGTAAAACATCGTTGTGGTAGACATGCATGCTTTTTCCCAGTCGATGATGGAATGCAATGTGACAACTGTGGCAAGTGGTATCAAAACATGTGCACCGGACTAACATCGGCTGAATATAAAAGGTGTTACAAACCACTATCACGTTGGCTGTGCAAAGCATGCTGCTCTACAAAGTCTATTCCGATTCTTGAAGCGATTGAGCTGCCAAACATAATTAGAAAGATACTCTCAGATAAACAGCCGGCAGCACATCAGATTTCAGTTTTCGAGAAAGTAACAAGCGTTATCATAAGTCCAGCTTTGGATGAGACTTCGAAAGTGGACCCCAATAGCGTAGCGGATAACAAACAGAAAGATGTAGGCATGGTTACAAGAAAAAAGAAAAATCACGCTGAGAAGAAACATTTTATAGGTAGAACTAAGGTATGTGAATCTACGGTTTCAGTTCCTGATTAACATATCAACGCAAAACAGACTCAGGGAGGAGAAAAGCCTGAGCGTATGGTCAAGAGACATAAGGTCAATCATTGGCCCCACAGTTACACCCAGAAAAAGAAAAGTAAGGAAATAGAGTGAGACCTTCGCATCTGACGCCAAACCGGACTGCAGAGATGATAAGATTTTACGAAACAGCTTGTTAAAACGGACCTCATTGACAGGTCAGTCATTTTTCATAAGTAAAGAGAATCTTCTCGTTTCTCTTGGACTTATTCTTCATACACACACGGTTATGATGTCGATCAAATAACTTTCCTCCCACATTTAAGAAGTGATCATGCAGTCATATTATTCAAGTTCGTGGCTGAGATGACCCGTCAAACAGTTGCGCCGGTCCGTCCTAACTTACGGAAGGCAGACATGAAGGCGACCAACTCTGCAGCCTCGATTCAAAACTAGATAATTGACTCAGGGGGAACCAATAGAAGTATAAAGTCATTTCAAGCATTTCTATAATCAAGTAACTCAACATTTAATGCCCTAGACAGTCCCAAAAAAGCAGTCATCCCCAGATAGACCAGGATATTCGACGTTTACTAAGACAAAAGAAATGTTGGGACATCACCGTCAGCCTTGGTACAGCAAGTACGATGGAACGTTACAGGTCGGTAAGAAATAAGTGTATAATTACAACCTGGGAAGCTCAGCAAAAATCCGGAATGTAGTTGGTATAATCTGTAATCAAGCAGCCTAAGAGACTATTCTCGCACATGAATCACAGAACAAGGACGCAGTATTGGATTCCCAACCTAGCTACGGAAGTGAATCTTGAATGATAGAGGATGGTCAGGAAAGAGCAGAGTCTATGCCAAACAATTTCGGGACAGTTTTCAGTCACGGGCATCTTCTAAACGAAGAACTAGACCCAAATGCAAAGTCATCTGCTTACTGTGGACTTCGACCGAGACGATGTACTTAAGGTCCTTAGCGCTTTGGATACAGAAAAGTCAACAGGCCTGGGTGTACTACACCCTAAAACCTTGAGACTAATTGCACAATATATTGCTGCCCCATTGACTATGATATTGAATGTCGATTGGCCAAGGTGAGTTACCTGCGGACTAGAAGGATGCGATCGTCACTTCCATCAAACCAAAGACCTACCAGTCTCACCAGTGTTGTAGTCAAAATACAGGAAAGAATAGTAAAAAAGACCATAATGACAGACGTGGAAACCAACAACTTGTTGGACATAGAACATGGTTTCAGAAAAAATTTATCTTACAAAACGAATCTCTTATTAGTAAGAGGGAAATGGATAGAAGTTCTAGATAATGAAAACCAGCGCATGTTTTCTACATAAACTTCAGCAAAGCATTTGATAAGGTGCCAACAAATAGACTACTCTTGAAGCTGGAAAATCTAGGTACCATCGGACCTCTTTTAAAACGGCTTAAAAATTTCCTGGAATAAATTCCAAGTGCTCCTTCTGGAAACCAGTACTTAGCGAAGAACCACAAGGCTCCGTCCTAGGTCCTTTACTTTTCATACTGTATGTAAATGAACTCCCAAGTATGGTTGAGTCCCCAGTGTTATCATACACTGATAATTTAGAAACCTAACGAAAAGTAGCAGGAGACGCATGTGCATATGATCTTCAGACGGATTTAAAAATTCTGATCAGCTAGTCTAAAAAGTGGATCTGCAAGTGTGTCTGCAAGCATATTGGGGATACAAAGGTAAATAGGTACAACATATGGGAAGTGCCTGTACCCGTCGCGCGGTTTCACAAGAATATTGGAGTGACAAAGAGTCATGATATCAAGACCACGTCCCATCGCCCTAAGGTTGCAGCTAAGGGGTTCAGAACTCTATGGGCTTTAAGAAGGACATCCACCAAGTTAGATACTACTATGTTCACTACAGTATACACAACCTTAGTGAGAAAGAAACTTGAGAACTGAGTTTAGGCTGCAAGCCTCTGTTTAAAAGGTGACTCGTACATCCTAGAAAAAACACAGAGGGCAGCTTCCTGTGCAATTTTAGAGGATATAGCAGGCGAATAGAAAAGTCGAAAACGAACAGAATACTTGTGGCATACAGGTTTTCACACTGGGTCATCAATTCTTGGAACGTGTTACACGAAGTAGGTGTCCGCATCTCCAACTGACTCACTCAAGAAGACACTCACAGAAGCATACTAGGAAAGGAATAACACAGGTCATAGTTCTGTCCTCACTATACGAATCTGAGTTTGAGTTAGTTTAAATTGTGCTAAAAAAATACATGCGTACAAATATCATGAATAAACAGCACCAACTTGGTTCCCCCTTCACCAGGTACAATTTATAGGGTGACTCAGAGCTACAGATTGAAAGGATGTCCTTACGTAGATATTCTGGGATAACGTTATATATTATGCTAAGGGAGCAATTATATAGGAAGACAACAGCAACTACAACTGCAATCTACATAAAGAACTCCTTAAAAACGTTAAAAATGAAAGTGTCTAAAAACATGACAAATACGTCACTCTAGCATATGTATAAATATATCGTTCTTATTGGACATCACCGGAATCTCTAAAAGTACAAGGCAAAAGTCATAGAAAGTAGCATTTTCTCAGCCTTACATTTCTTTGTCTGTCATCCTGCTTTTCAGCGATAGCCGACTGTTGTCTGTGCATATCCAGAACTTTTTGTGCTGTTTTTTGCACAACTAACACAAAATAACAAATAAATTGACAAACAACCTTTGGGTGATATTATGTTCAGATATTCCCGATCGTCTGCATCCCACACATCTTGACTATTGATCTGAAACAAAGCGAACCCTTTTGATCCCTTCCCAGCCATGAAAATTAACAATCAATGACAAGAAGGACGAGTTAAACTGTACGAACTTCTGGGTAGTGTCATCGAACAATGTAGCGCCATTTCTTAATGCGTCCGCTGTTAATTTAGCTCTTATATGTTAATTGTATGGTTTTCTTTTCTTCAGCCTTGCAATAAAGACATGATTTCTGTGTACATATGCCGTTTTTGTGGGTTTGTTAGAGATATGGTTAGTAAAATGTCTATAACAAGACGTGCTGTTTTTAATTAGTGTCACGAAAATCCAGGAATTGACAAACACTTTTGTTCGTACCAGCTTTATGATCTAAATAATTTAAACCCAGTCAATACAGATTTCAGGAATGAACTGCTTCAATATTTCGGGTAGCGTATGGCCGAAGCTTGCTAGTTGTTGAGAGGGGTGCAGATTAGATCAGACTATTCTCGATATATTCAGTCTTCAGTCTTCAGTCTTCAGTAATAAGGATAGTAGGTTGATGAACCTGTGTTAATCCTGACACATTGCTTTCCAGTGAAGGTCCAGCTTTTCCTTGAAAGTATTCACTGATGGGGCTGATACCACTTGTTCGGGTAAGGCGTTCCAATCATTGACTACTCGATGAGAAAAACGGGATCCCACTTTAAGTTTATTAGATCGTGGTTTATGAACCTTCTTGCTATGACCTCGGAGATTAATAGTGCTGGAGGGAGCAAAAAGATAAGACATATTAACACCCAAATCATAATTAAAGATACGAAATGCCAGTATAAGGTCACCTCGTGTCCTACGATACGACAAGGGGAAAAGATTTAGGCGTTTTAAACGCTCATCGTAAGGGAGTCTAGAAAGACCCTTCACTAATTTCGTTCCCACACGCTGGACACGCTCAAGGGAGTTAGTATCCTTTACCAGACACGGGCTAGCTGCTTGGATACAGTACTCTAAATGTGGTCTAACATATATGGGATATAAAATTCTAAACATTTCCTCGTCAAAAGATTTGAACGCTCGGCGAAGTGACCATAACGCACGAAAACCTTTGACAGCGGCTGCTTTGCAATGCTTAGTTGTTTTTAAATCATGACTTAATATTACTCCTAAGTCTTTATGCTCTTGAACGCATGGAAGAGGTTTACCCTCAATAGTGTAACGGTAACTATTACCGTGACCGATGTGCATTAGCACACTCTTCCTAGCATTGATTTCTAAGCCCCACTCTCGAGCCCATCTAACTAAATCGTCTAAGTCAGCTTGAAGATCCAGATGATCAGCCGCACTTTTTATTGTTCTCCAGATTTTTACATCATCCGCAAACAATAATGTCGACGACCTAAGTAACAGCGGTAAATCATTAACGTAGAGAAGGAAGAGCAGAGGGCCTAAGATGGTGCCTTGGGGTACACCACTTTTGACCGGCTTCCAATCGGATAGCGTTCCGTTGACTCTAACTCTCTGTCTGCGGTCACATAAGAAATTTCCTATCCACTCATGTACAGTGCCTATTATTCCGAAGCTCGTGAGCTTCTGCATAAGACCTACGTGTGAAACCTTGTCAAACGCTTTGCTGAAATCTATGAATATCACGTCGACAGACAGACCGTTATCTAGGGCTGCTGTCCAATCCTCCCTCGCAATAAGCAAGTTAGTCAAGCATGAACGCTTGTTACGAAATCCGTGTTGCTCAGGAGCTAACAGATTGTGTAAATCTATGTGGCTTAGCAACCTAACCCGAATTATTTTTTCCAGTAACTTAACGACTATGCTAGTTAGACTGACAGGTCGGTAGTTAGATGCTATCTGTCGCTGACCGTCCTTAAATATAGGACTAACTATAGCGTCCTTCCAATCTCTAGGGAGTTGAGCGAGTGAGAGGGACATGTTGAAGAGTGTCGCAAGCGGTTTTGAAATAATGTCCGCAAGAGATGACAGCAACCGTGGATGTAACCCGTCAGGGCCCGGTATCTTACCAGGTTTGAGGTTAGTTATCAACGGAAGGACAGTTTCCTCAGTCACCTGTACAGATTCGATGGTTGGTATCTCGGTGTGAGTGGGACAAGTATTTGTTACAATAATCGTTGAGAAGACTTCGCTAAAGTAGTCTGAAAAAGTCTCAGCTTTTGCTCGATCTGATTCAGCTAGTAATTCTGAATTGTCGTGTAACAGTAACGGGGGAATACTATCACTACGTTTCATTTGCCGTTTAACATACGAAAACAATCGTTTCGGACAAGTACGGCTATCGTATACTAACTGTCGTTCGTAAGTGGTACGAGATTTGTCTATGGTTTTCTTACAGATATTACGGTATTTTTGGTACTCACGCTTAAATGGTGCATGACCTGTCAACAAGAATAAGTCCCAGAAATGTTTTCTACGCTTTAACAGCTTCCGGGTTTCCTTATTAATCCATGGAGGGCAATGTGATAGCTTACGTGCTGACCATGGGATAAACGGCGACGTTACGGACTCGAATGTAGCCTTGAACTTATTCCATTCATCTTCGATCAATCCATCCGCGTCGACCGACCAATCAGTCGAGATAGCACAGTTTCTGATTTCCGGAATATTGGCTCGCCAGATATTGGGACGGGGTGGAGCAGATACGAATTGTATACCATGTGTCCTAAACTTAAAGTGAATTACAACGTGATCACTGTTCACTAGTGGAGGAAGGTGCTGGATATCAAGGACATCCTCAGAGTGGTGGGTGAGGGCGAGGTCCAGCAGTGACGGAACATGTTGCAAATCAATATGTGTCGGTTTTATGATACATTGTACAAGTGCACACTGAATAACGGTAGATAAAAGGTCGCTATCGAAACCACTACCTGGAGCTGTAAGCTCTATCCAGTTGATATGCGGTGCGTTGAAGTCCCCAATGATGAGACAACATTCTGCCATACTCCAAGAACAGATGTGTCTTAGGATAAAGTCGTCAGCAAGACAAGACGGACTACGGTATATTACCCCTATAGTCACTAACCCATTTCTAGATTTAATCTTACAACATGCAACCTCACATGTGCCACTGATATGAGCCTCTGATATGGTTGATTGTATACGAAAGTGATCCCTAACATATAATATTACACCTCCCCCTTTGCGACTGAAAACTCTATCACTTCTGATACAGATATAACCAGCAATGAAAGGAGGACAGTCTACATCAACGGTGAACCAAGTTTCTGTAACAACGATTATATCGGGACGTAATTCTTGTACCATCAGACTTAGCTCGGACGTTTTATTTCTAAGACTACGAGCGTTCGTGTAGCACACACTTAAGGTGTTTTGGCAATCAATCGTTCTACCCATACAGGCCTCGGAAGCATTGGCTTCCAAGACCTGACTACCCGAAAACCCTTAATGGTAAGGTTATTTTCGCCATTTAATTTACGAGTCCTCAACTCCGTAAGAGCATTCTTCCACTTGATTCGATCCTCAAGTGGCCAATCTGGTCGAATACGGATATTTGAGTCACGAGTTTTTAGTGCGCTTTTCAATAATATGTCTCTTTCATCAATACTTCCGAGAACCAGCTTCAGGATTCTTCTTGGTTGGGTCTGTCAAATATATCTTCGAACCTCCTCGTTTCTGTCTTTTGATTTCACTTGTTGGGTAAGATTCATATTAGAAAGTGTTACTGGTTAAAGCGTTTTCAAACTCTGAGTACCTGTGGCAGAAACCGACTTCTCCGAGCACGGCGTGATCGACAAAGGCTAAACCAACTCCTTAATAAATCGACATTCATCAGGGTTCTGAGACGGACATGTTGCAACGGATGAGAGAGATTATCGGCCAAAGAACTTTCGATAATGGCTTATTCAGACAATTTTTCATATCTATACTTCCTCAACAGGAGCAAGCTGTGCTATTCTCGATTCACAACAACGCCATAAATGAGCTGGCTGCATCTGCCGACCGCATTTTAGAAATCACGAAATCCTCTAATACTGAGGTTTTTTCAGTCAAAGAAAAAAGTCAAACGACCCAGAATGAATTCGCGGAATTATGTCATACTCGTACACGTTATCTTAGATTTCGTAACGACCGTAAACGGTCACACACGCCTGTGGAAAGCAAGCAACAAACAATCAGCTTGTTACTCCTCGTGAAGGAACATAGGCCGCTCACCAGCATTCTCCATCCAACTCTGTCCTGGGCAATCCTTTCTAGCTCTGTCCAGTTGTAATTCATCGTTTTCATATCTGCTTCTATTATCCGACGCAATGTGTTCTTTGGCCTTCCTCTTTTTCGCTTCCCTTCAGGATTCCAAGTTAGGGCTTGTCTCGTGATGCAGTTTGGAGATTTGCGTAATGTATGTCCTATCCATTTCCATCGTCTTTTCCTAATTTCTTCTTCAGCTGGAAGTTGGTTTGTTCTCTCCCACAGAAGGCTATTGCTGATGGTATCCGGCCAATGGATGTTGAGTATCTTGCGTAGACAACTATTTATAAATACTTGTACCTTGATGATGGTTGTATTAGTTCTCCATGTTTCAGCTCCATACAGTAGAACTGTCTTGACGTTCGTGTTAAAGATTGTGACTTTGATATTGATTGAAAGTTGTTTTGAGTTCCATATGTTCTTTAACTGTAGGAATGCTGTCCTTGCTTTGCCAATCCTTGCCTTTACGTCTGCATCTGAACCTCCTTGTTCATCGATGATGCTTCCCAGGTATGTGAAGGATTCTACATCTTCCAGAGTTTCGCCATCAAGAGTGATTGGATTGCTGTTCTCCGCCTTGAATTTGAGGACCCTGGTTTTCTCTTTGTGTATGCTGAGGCCTAATGATGCAGAGACTGCTGCCTCACTGGCTGTCTTTGTCTGCATCTGTTCGTGTGTATGCGATAGGAGGGCTAGGTCATCTGCGAAGTCCAAATCGTCTAATTGATTTTGAGCTGTCCATTGTATTCCGTGTTTTTCTTCAGATGTCGAGGTCCTCATAATCCAGTCGACCACCAGGAGAAAAAGGAAGGGAGAGAGTAACCAGCCTTGTCTTACTCCGGTCCTTACTTGGAATGCATCTGTCAGCTGTCCTCCATGCACCACTTTGCACTGTAGTCCGTCGTATGAGTTCCGGATAATGTTGACAATCTTCTCAGGAACTCCGTAGTGTCGAA